AGACCTGAGCAGCTCTGGAATCCTGCAGAGCCTCTCCCTCCTCAGCAGCAGTTCTGCTGACTCCAGTGTGCTGATTATCAAGTTCTGGAATCCTTACAGCCATCCCACCAAATAATTTCTCCGTCCCTGTGCTCCCTTACCAGAGCTGTGCCGTGAGCGGGAGCCCTCCTGAGGAGCAGCACTGCCGTAGGTGTCCATCAGCCTCCTCCGCTGCTCCTGCAGCTCCTCTTCCCTCTGCAGGTCACTCCTGATCTCCTCCTCGATCAGCGCTGATGTTTGCGGCTTCCCGGTGCGCAGCCGGTACTGCTCCTCGCGGCCGTCCTCCCTCCTCTGCGTGCCCATGTCCTCCACGAAGGACACCTTGGGCTTCCAGAAGGAGAGGTTCAAGTACTCCCTGGGCAGGACAGCAGCGCTGCTGGGGCTCTGGGTGGAGCTGGGAGGTTTTCCTCCCTGGGAATCCTCGCTCCCCCATTTGCTGGCGCTGGCGGAAGCGTGCGGGGACACTGAGGGCAGCTCGCGGCTCCTCTCGCTGGCGGCGAAGCGCGGCTGGGACAGCTGGAAGTGGGCGATGCTGGCTGTGTAGCTGGGGATGCTTCTCCCAGCCTTGCTGTCTTCTGTGGGGCTTGAGGGCTGCTCCACCACAAACTCTTTAAGCCAGCTCCTCCTCTCCTCTGCCCGCTTCAGGGGAGTGGGCTTCTCTGGGGGGGCTTCCTCCTGCTCGAACACCTTCCTGCGCTCCTCCAGCTCCTGCTGCGTGCCCCTGTCATAGGCCCCCAGCAGCCTCCCCTGCCTCTTCAGATCTTCCTCACGCTTCGTTTCCTGCTCAATTTCCCTCTGCACGTAAAGGGAAGCGCGGCCTCTGTCCTTCCCTTTCCTGCCGGGGCCGGGAGACGCGTGAATGTTGAGGACAGGTTTGGTCTGGATCTCCACCAGCTCGCTGCTGGAGGTCAGCCGCTGGATCCCCCTTTCCTTCCAGAGGTTCTCCTCCCTTTCCAAGGCCATGCGGATCTCCCTCTCGATGGGTGTCTCGTTGCTGACCCTCGTCCCGTTGCTGCTGGCCCTCACATCCACGTTGAAGGTCTCGTTGGAGGTGCTCCCATCGCTGGCATAGCCCGCAGTGGTTTCAGTGTACATCTCACCCAAGCCAGAGTCCAGGTCTTCTCTGGACCCTGATTTGGTCAGGATGGACACCTTCCCAATGGGATGTGACCTTTCTGTGTGAGATTTTCTGGGAGTATAAACCTCCTCCTTCTCCGGTGTCTTGTATGAGGACACACCGTAAACCTGGTAAACGCTCTTGTCTGTCCCGCTCTGGCTTGATGCACCAGCACTGCTGTAGCCTCTCGTACCCTTTGTGGCCATCTCAGGGCTGTACCACTCTTCTCTGGAGACTTTTGTCACTGACTCTGGCCTTGGGGACATGGCCTGCTGCCCTGGGCTGAAAAACGAGCCGGGGTTGGTCTTCTCCAGCATCAGGAACTGCTGCCGAGCCGCAGAGAAGTTGATCTGCTCCGTGTCAATATTCTCAGGGTCAACGGGCGTTGCAGCCCTGCCTGGGGAGGGTTTGTCAAACCAGATGGCAAAGCTGGTGGGGACACTGCCTGTGTGCCTGCCTTCAGCTGGGCTGCTGATGGAGCCCAGCTCATCCATGGAGCTCCACCTCTCCGCTATGGTGGAGCTTTTCCTCATGGCCTGGCTCCGGATCACCTCCTTCCTCTCATCTTCCAGCTCCCTGGCTTTCTCAGGGGAGATGTTGGGTGGAGGGACCCTGTGCAGATCTTGCTCCTCGTCATCATAGAGCTTGGAGGGTTTCCTCTCACGCTTGTAAGCCCGGAGGTCGTACAGGCTTCCCGATCTCACCACCTCCAGCTTGGACTCCCTGTCTGGGGACGGGGTCCAGACATCTCTTCCACCCTCCAGGAAATACGAGGGTGACTGGGACCTCCTCTTCCAGCTGTAGCCATTTTCCACCCTCTGGCTGCTGTGCTGGGCAGAGCTGAACACATCATCATCACTGCTGGCCCTCAGCTCTGCCAGGGAGTCGTGCCTGTGCGAGGCCTGTGGCTGCTGGAACACAAGGTGCCTGGTGACCCTGTCCATCTCCTGGAGCTGTCACTGCTGTGCCAACCTTGTCCCACACTGGGGCCACTGCTCGGTTTTGAGGTCACCCTCAGAGTCCCAGTTCAGCAGAGGCCAAGGGTCTCGACCTGGCTGGCCCTGCAAGCAGGAGGGGAGAGCAGCCGTGAGGAACAGCAGAATTAGCAGAGGTTGAGATGCAGCTCCTCTCCCAGCCTGGTTCCGCTGCCCTTGGGACATGGAATTTCTAAGCTTTAGCCCTCGAAATTTCAAAAATAGCCCAAACACTCATCCTCACAAAACAAACTCCTCTCTCAAACTTCTTCACATCCCCTAGGACACTTCAACCCTTTAATCCACTGCTAAGCATAACTAACTTCCTCAGTGGAGGACAGAACATTGCCTCTCACCTAATTCACCTTTCCTGATAGAAAATACCAGGCCCAGAAGGACCAGCCAACCTGCAACTAACAGCAACCAAAGCTGCCACCACCCTCCACTCTGGCCTAATCAAAGCTTAATTAGGATCATTCACCACACCAGCCTGTCCTGTGTGGGGCAGGAGCAGAAGAACATAAAGCCCAATTCCCAACAGGAGCTGCCACAGAGCACAGAAATCCACCCCACCTCTGTCCCCCAGCCTGGCTGGGTTCTGGGGGAGCTCAACCAAACCTGCCCAGGCACTCAGTGCTGCCTGAACCACCAAAGGCAGCAGTGCTGGGGAAGATGAATCAGGAAAGGCTTATAAATATGATTGTCTGGCAAAAGATTTTGAGAATATAGAAACTATAAGGGAGATTGAAATGAAAGCAAGCTTTGAGATCCCTCAGTTACTGAACAACTGGAAAACAACGGTGTGGCTGACTGAAAGTAATCCTCTTTTGATCAAACAATTCCCTCTGCCTGCAGGCAGCTCCAAGGGTCAGAGCAGACCCTACAGCTTGGCAGAAGGGGCCCAAAGAGGAGTTTTTAGGGTTTAAAATGTAGCACAGTATGGTAATGTAGTGATTCTTATAGGCTGTGTGGAAATGCTATAAGATTTGTATATTGTACTAGATTGGTTAGTGAGGATTAGAATATTCAGCACAGAAGAAGATTTATTGTGTTGTAACGGGAACCTCACTCTCTTACCCCTTTTACTCTCTTACCCTCTCATCCTCTCTCCCCCTCTCTTCTCTCAGTCCTGCTCTGAGCTGTGGCTGCAGCTCCCAGCAGGGCCCTGCACCCAGGCCCTTTGCAATAAACCCCAAATTCCACAACCTGGCTGCAGAGATCTCTCATCTCCATCCATCCTGACAGTGCTACCCCAATGCTCCTACACAGCAGGACCTCAGCCACAAAGCCACAAGCTCCTGGTGCCACCACATCCAGCTGGGCACCAACAGCCTCGGCCTCTCCGCATGCACAGGGCAGGGAGGGAGCTCAAACCCTGGGCAGGGAAAGGTGCCAGGCCAGGGCCACTCCTGCCTGGAATATCTCCTTGTGCCATTTACAGAAAGGAGCCTCCAAATAGCCCAGCTCTAGAAACTGGGGTCATAAACACGGTTTCATGGCTCATAAAACGAGGGGACTTTAACCCCCCCCGGCACACAGGGCAGGAGGGAGCAGCCCCAGCCTCGGGGTCAGGCCTGGAACAGCAGATCCCAGACAGGGAGGGGCAGCACAGGTGGGTCCCCGTGAGCCAGCAGCTGCCACCTCATCCCCGATGCCATCCCTGGCTGCAGAACTGGTGGCACACATGTCACCTGCAGACAGGCTGTGCCTGGAGGCAGCACTGTCACAGACACATTTTATGAAAGATCCTTTCCTTAGGATTTTTACCTCCTGAGAAGCTGAGAGCCATCAGGAACAAAATAAAAACAATGATTGTCTGCTGCTGTGGAATGCAACAGGTGGATCTGTGATTGGTCTCTTGTGGTTGTTTGTAATTAATGGCCAATCACAACGAGCTGGCTCAGACAGAGAGTCTGAGCCACAAACCTTTGTTAATCATTCCTTCTTTTTCTATTCTCAGCCAGCCTTCTGATGAAATCCTTTCTTCTATTCTTTTAGTATAGTTTTAATGGAATATATATTATAAAATAATAAATGGAGCCGTCTGAGACATGGAGTCAGATCCTCACCTTGAGACCCTGCGAACATCATCACAGGCAGCACCACGTCCTGTGCCATATTTGCTGAGGTTTAGCCACGGCCTTGGCCTCACCTGTGAGCCCTGGCAGTCGGGGTGTGTCAGCCCTGGGCACCACTCCCGGGCATTCACAGCCTCCTGGGAATGTGCAGCAAAACTGGAGCAAGGCCACGGTGACAGCAGGGACAGCCC